ACTCCCAAGAATCTTAAGTGTAAAGCACAACTGAAAAGGTTCTAACCTAAGTTTATCCTTAATGTAAAAAACTACTACACAAGTTAAAAAAGCAAAATATTTTAGTGGTAGTTGGACATTGATATCGTACAGTGAAATCTTCCCATATGTCTCACTTCAGTGCTTCAGCTGGTATGTTGCCGGGTCATGCTGCTTTCCCACACTTGATTTGTCTGATGGTCATTCAGATTTCTTCCGTCGTTGGTGGACTGACATCTATAGAAAGACCTGTGCGTGTTGCTTCGATGTCCGGTGGATTCATTGGAGCCGGCCTATTAAAGAGTTCCTTGAAGTACTCTACACATCTATTCCACTTTTCTTGAATTTCAGTGATTGGTCTACCTTCTTTGTCCTTGACCGGTCTCTCTAGTTTACTATATTTATCTGCCAATTTATTCGTCGTTTCATATAATTGTCTCTTATTTCCTTCTCTTGTAGATTTTTCCACCGTCGTTGCTATTTCTTTCACAGATTTCTGCTTCTCAGCTTTATTGCTCCTCATAATTTGCTTAGTTGCTTCTGTGTATTCAGCTTGCGCCTTGAATTTCTCTGCTCTTGTTCGACTGTTGTTAATTCCTGTCTTATTGTTCTTCCTTCCTCGATTCCTGTCCAGGATATCAATGGAGATCCATTCCTCATGGTGATGCTTATTTCGTCCCAAAACCTCCCGATACGACGAATTAAGTGCTTCCTTGATACGTTTCCAGTTGTCCTCCATAGTAGTTTCTTCTTCTTTCAGTAGATCTTATATGGCTTGGAACCTGTTGTTGAAAGTTATTATGAATTCATTAAATTTGTTAGTATCTCGAAATAAGTCTGTATTGAACCCGTGTGGTGTTTTTGTCCATATTTAGCTTCAGTTTTGAATTGGAAACAACTAGGTGGTGATCTGAAGCTATGTCAGCTCCTCTCCTGGTTCTCACTTCTTCCATTGTCCTTCGCAACTTTTTGTTGATGCAAATACGATCTATCTGGTTCTCTGTAGTGTGGTCCGGTGAGATACATGTAGCTTTGTGTATACGTTCGTGTGGAAATATTGTGCCTCCTATGACCAATTTGTTGAATGCACACAGATTTGCAAATCTTTCTCCATTTTCGTTTTTCTCACCCAGTCCATGTCGTCCCATGGTATCTTCATATCCGGTGTTGCCTATTCCGCCTTTGGCTTTTAGATCTCCCGTCAGATTGGTGAGGTCTTTTCCTGGGCACTTTGCTATGGTTTATTTCAGCCTCTCGTAAAACTGATCTTTATCGTCGTCTCTACAATCATTGGTGGGTGAATAACACTGTGTAGCATTCATTGTGATTCCCTCCACCTTTGTTTTGAATGATGCTTTGATGATTCTGGATCCGTGAGATTCCCATCTTACAAGTGTATTTCGTGCTACTTTGGACAGCATTATAGCAACTCTGTGAGTGTGTGGAGCATTTTCCTCTCCGTAGCCGCAGTATAACAGCATCTCTCCTGTATCCAGCCTTTATTGTCTAGCTTGGGTACAATGGGTTTCGCTGATTTCGAGTACTGCCAATTTGTATCTCCTCATTTCCGTTGCTATTTGACTGGCTCTCCCGGTCTTCCACACTGTACGAGCATTCCACGTACCTGAATAAATGGTTGCTCTGGTTGTCAGAAGGGGCATCAACCTCATGACTTCCGGAGAATTTCGACTTTCATCATGACCCGTCATAATTTTTCCTAGAATTTTCAGGGCAGAGTTTAAATGATTAAACTTATTTATTCTGATTGGTGTTTTTTAACAAGATTGTTTTCTAAAGGATGGGTTTGCCAAACCCATGCTCGACCTCTTCTGGAATACTGCATGTTTATTCTTAGCGTGCTCTCATAAAGGATAAATTAAGGCTGGAATCAGTACAGAGACGATTTACACTTCGTATTCTTGGAGCTGATTTTACCTTAACTTATAATTCTAGATGTAATAAACTTGGGCTAGACCCTTTATGGAGGAGGAGACTCAAACTAAATCTTATCTTTTTCTTCAAACTACTTCATAAACTATCGTTTACATTCGATCACGCGATTCAATATGCAGAAACCTCTCATTATAACATACGTAATTCCTTGGCACTAGTGAAACAAACTCATTCTAAATCATCTCTTTATATGAATTACTTCACCTGTAAATTCTCTAGACTATGTAATAACCTACCACAACCTATCCGCACGATAAAATCACTCCCATTATTTGTTCGCTGCATCGATGCATACTGTTCTTCTGAAAATGCATTGAGTGGTCTAGCGCCTTTAAGTGTATCTCATTCCACAAGTGATATTTTAGGAACCTTAAATGTTTAGCCATCTTTATTAGTGAATCCCTTTAGTAAAACCACCCACTTGCTGTCAATATGTCAACACTGCCATTAGCAACTTTAACTAATTTGAATAACACAAACAGTATATCACTGTGTCACATGACACACGCATTTAGGTAGACCTGATTGGCATATTTTGGTAATTACTTTTTTGTTGTTCCGTGCTCTCTGTTTTCGTTTTAATTTTTCTAGTTGTAGATAATTATCATTATTTCAATCTGACACACGAATTCACCTTAATTACACCGTTCATAAATCAACAGGCTGTCGATTTAAGAAATATTAAAAATTCCCGGCTGATGCTTTGGATCGCTGTAATATATGTACTACTTAAACAACTACTGAACTAGTTTACTTAAAACTTTCTTTTATCACATGTTTGTTTTCTGCACGTTTCACGTTATTACTTATATCAAATTGATCATGCCTGTAAACTGGCGTGAATTCTGTAATTATTATTTTTCAGAATATAAATTTATTATTATTATTACTGGGATATTGTGATACTTCATGACCAAGTCAGTTTCAATAAATATGTCCATACACTGTAAGCCGTTTGTAAAATCCTGAATATGGGTTATTGGGTACCTATCTGGTTCGGTTTGTCGACCCAGGGATATGTAATTTCCATATAGTCGACGATCACTCTCATTTTTCGTTGCAACCATGTTTGCATGGAATTCCGTTTGGCTACCAGAGGGACGGATAATAAACAGCTGTAGCATGTAGTCGAACTCAGCTATAATGATTTTAAGCTTATCTGATGGTAGTCTTTTGAATCTAGCAAATACAAGTGCCCTTTGAGTTCTGATTGTATGACTTATCTTTACCTTACTTTTGAAAAGTTGGAGATTGTGTATGGTTTGGAATTTCCCCCAGTATAGTCTAGAATTTCGCAGTTGTTATTGGTGGAGTTTTTATCGAATTTAGAGAAGTGATGTGACATTCTTTGAATAAATTAACTCGAATTTTCTTCAAGTGTCAAACGTCGTATCTCAGTGTCGACTAGAAAATCATCTCTCTTTAAAAAGTCTATTCCCAGTATTACCAGAGCCAAATCTACTGCGGTGAAGGCATTAGGGAATTTCCTCCTATATGAAAAGTCTGCATCGGTGTATTCTGCCCAAACGTCACAATTTTAGTTTTGTTGGCAGTTTAATTTTCATCTCGGGAAATTTTTCGTTCCAGCTCGGTCTTCTGAGGAATGGTACTAAGTGCAGCACAGTTACCTACCAAAAATTCAGGTCTGGGATATTGTACCTAACATAAAACAAGCGACTTCTCGAACATCTCTCCTGAATAATTACGGCCTTTTAAGTGCTTATACGTTTTCTATATTTTTGATAGCCTGTTTGGGTCAGGTACATGGCTGACTGCACCATGTTGATTTGGCACCAAGCCTCTAATGCTACCAACAGAAGTGTTCAAATTGTCTGGACGTTTTTGAATCGCTCTGTGACATTGATTTCGGTTTTCGTGATGATTCGCTTCTGTTTCTATAATCTGTTTACATTATAAAGATAGTCTCTTTGAGACTTATCATACTCTCAATGACTTCTACCATGACTGAGCTCATTGATGATTCATTTTGTTGATGAAATATCATACATGATCCAGTTGCGAGACCCCTCTACATTGCTTTTTCTGCATTGCGTGCTAAACGAGGCAAACAGATGTTTGGGTCTTGGACACTCAAACAGTATTGAACGTAGCATGTATCCATCCTTGTTTTAGGACTGGTTCACCCACAATATTGCCGCCCTCTAGGAATTGGAGGTGACGTAAGAAATTTGGTGACCTATCACCCAATGTTTCTCCCTGTAAAAGACTTTAGGCTCTTCAGACGTCTGATAAAGATAGACGGTTCATTATCTCACGTCTGCAAATGGTGTGCGATTGTGACGTTTAGGGACTCAAAACTAAGTTGCGGACTTCTATAGGAACTAAAGGGGGGAGGACTGAACATATATATTGTTACCCAATCTCTTCATATTTAATATTGTGCCTCGTGCAATAATGCTCTAGTTGAGAAAACCACAACTCAGGGTCACTACGATCAAATTCTGGAAGTCAAGCTTTCTTATTCATAACAGTGACTATTTCTACTGGAGACAAATTATACTTATCTTTCGGGCTTTTAATCTGTATTGTGTCTGACATATGGCATATAACGCATGTATTATTGACATAAAAACGGGGGGAAAATAATCCTGGCACTAATACTGTGCGATAATATATAGAAAGTGTTGAATGTTATTTCAGTTATTCTCTTTATCAAGCATTGTTGATTGTATGAATGAATGAATAAACAACCAATTGATAATCTGGCTCTATACTTTATTTATAATGAACTATTAGAACCTGATTGTAACATTCCAAGTTACACATTTATATTGAGAAAGTACTTGTTCAAGCTTTCTATTTAAGTTATTGAATGTTATCGTGAACATTTTAAATGAACACCCACCAATCATGTTTTTCATGACTAAAATAGTGAAGTGATGCAGATCTGTTAGTATTTGGAAACGATTCAACCATTCATATATGAGATAGCATCGATTCAATTTTGATTGGTCAGTAATAGTGAATATATAAGTACAAATTGCGCTTACACAGTCGAACTAGAAAGAGTCATGAAATCTTCCATAACTTGTTTTCTATACTTATTGTTTATTGTAGTTTATTATATTTCTAAATGTCATTCCATAGTTCCTAAAGCTTACAAACATCATAAGACAGGAATTTATCATAATCTTGTTGAAGTGTTGACGTACGATCATTCATACAAAAGCTGTTATATTTTAACGGAAGCATTAAAACGTTTTGAAGAACGTCTCACATTAATAAAACAATATCCTAAAGTTCCTATTTGTTTACCAAATTCTACAATCGATACCATCAAATTATCAATCACTAGGGGATGTAACGAGTCAAATGGTGAATTATGGCCTTCTGAATCAATCAATGAGACGTGTATGTTATTTTATTCAACGAAATTATTATATCACAGATTCACTCTTTATTTTCAGTAAGAGAATAATCTTAAAATCCGAAGAAATCTGGGGAATATTACATGGATTAGAAACAATACTTCAGTTAATTTACAGAAGTCCACTAGAGAGAGTAATGTGAAATTAGATAATCATTAATTTATTTTTGTTAGAACATGATTGAAGGTGGTCTAATTTGGGATGAACCATCATTTCCCCATAGAGGATTTTTAATTGATACATCTAGACATTATTTATCATTGAAAGAGATTGAGAAATTCCTTGTAAGTATAAAATATTTTTTTAATATTTATGTTTAATATCTACACACTTATAGCTCTCATTAAAGTATAACTAAACTTTTTGAAACACTCATATTAACTAGATTGTATGAAATGATTAATCTAGCTACTATTAGTCAAACGTTATATGTGTCGCTCGATTTTGTGGATTAGTTGAAAATAGACATTAACACCGTTGGTTGCTGGCCGACTCAGTGGTCTAATGGTTAAGTGCTCGCGTGCGCAAAACCAGTAGGTCCTGGGTTCGAATCTCGCAGGGGAGGAGGTCGTGGATGTGGACTCCCACTGAGGAGTTCCACAATAGGACAAAATGGCTGTCCAGTGCTTCCAGGTTTTCCATGGTGGTCTAGCTTCAACTGACTCATGATTTCAATCAGAAAATAATAATTGGGAAAACGGATTGCATAATACTGGAATAAAAATGAAATGTAATAAGAGAAGGCATAGAAAGGAAATAATTCGGTTGAGAGAAAAATGTCACTAGTGAAGCAGATGGAGAGGGAAACTAATTTTGAAAATTAAAACCAAACACGAATATGTTGAACAGGTTTCTTTTGTTCACATAGGTTGGGTTTTTCTAAATGTGTCACAATGGCTCCAGTAATGTTTAGAAAACAGAAGCTTGACGTATTTAGAAAGTTTTTGTTCACCTTTTACATGACTGAGAACCCTGAGCCTGCTATGATCTGATGATCCATATTCACAATTTCTTCAATTATGTGGTGCCTCATTGATCCACTTCTGTTTATTTTCGACTATACTGGATAATGTCCTTCAATCTTCTTGAGAAAAACTTACATCAAGCAACCCGTATTACCTGGCTGTTTAGGCGTAAGTTGATTGATAAATACACATAGAAGTGGTTAAATGTGAGAGCTTACCATTTAGGTCGTCGTTAAATACTGATCATCTGTAGCATACTAACCATGTGGTTGTTGTAAATAATGCCCTTTATAGGGAAATAGAAATTTATCTTTCCAAGATATCCGAAGCCGTGTTACCTTTGAAGCAATTGTACATGTAAACCAATTTTTTTAATACGAACCACTCCATGAAGGTTTTCTGTAAACGGATCTTAGAGTTCTATCAGTTTCTCTGATAATTACATCATCCATAAAGTAACTGTTCAGTTTATTTTCCATTTTAAGTGTTAGGTTTACTACCAGGTGGCATTTGTTGAGTGTCTGTATAATGTGATTTGAACCACATTTATCATCGCAGATAACAAAAAGATTACTTATATTTTCTTTGTGTAGATAGATAGTGTCAGCAGTTGTCTTTAGTTGATCATTTTCCGAAATGACAATTATACAGTCTACTAGTAGTTGACCAAGAGAGAAACCCATAACTATACCATCCTTTTGTCTGTAGATTATATTCTTGATTTAAATTGTTCATTTAAATGGAATCACAGTAATCTTTTTTGTAAACAGTACGTTAACGTTACGATATCATTATCTCACTTAGTTTTTTTTTAAAATCATTTTAGTCTTATTTTTTGTTTAATATGCTTAGAGATAAAAGATTTGACGTAGATTTTACGATCCATTAGAGCTATTCCTTCACCACTGTCAGTAAGCATTATTATTTTCTATGGTGATTGAAGATATCAAGAAGAGTAGACTTAAAACGTTTTAACTCATGGTCGGATATTGTTTTGACTTGACACGGCTAATTATCACGTGACTTATTTGCCAATTGGAACACGACGTATATAATCTTAACACTGTGTCAAACCAATGACGTTCGACCGGTACGACTAGCCCAGCGTCTTTACTGGTCCTTTACCACCTAGCTCTGCCAGCTGAGTCCAAAAGGCCAATAATAGCTTCCAATATGCGAATCATTTATTTCGAACATAATTGGTTTATATACCAGCCAAACAGATCACATCATACAATAAAATAGGATATAACATTTGTACAAGATCAAACCGAGAAATGGCTGTGAACATCAGGGACTGTAATCAATAAACTGAGTATAATTTAAGAATAATAAATCGTATCATAATAGTTTTTAGATCAAAATAAAGCTTATAATAAGATGAATATAGATATACGTAATCTAGTTACTGAATAGTTATATAATAAGCATATACATATAATATTAATCTTTTAATAGTTCCCAGAAGTTACTTATAATTTAATCTTCACTAGAATATAACAGATACCGGATTAGACCTGTCTGTCTAATGACTATATATTCTAACTGATTATGCGTGAAGTTCACTAATTTTATGATTTAAGTAGATAGCCCCCCCCCCCACAGATTAGGCCTCCAGTCGCCAAGGTGATGAAATTACTAGGAAATGATTGGTTATATATATCTCTTAGGAGATGTTGAGACTGTTCTGAGGATTTCATGCCTTCAGTGAAATTTAAATGTGCAGTTTGAGAATATTTATCTACATTTTGATGACATTTTCAATAAAATGTTCATACGGATTAGACATCAGAGTGTATAACATGTTTATGACATAATCTACTTTAGTAACAGAATGTATAAATGGATATAATTATAAATCAAATAATATAATTGTAATATCTTAATGAGTAGAAAACCAAATATTCTGACGTTCCGTGACTCAATCTAAGCCACCTCTTTAAAGATTAAATAACCAAATTAAAATTCATTCAAGTTTAATTAGTACAAAAACTTGGATGAATTTTGATTTGGTTATTTATTCTCTGAAGAAGTGACTTACATTAAGTGACTAAACGTTAGAAAATTTGATTTCCTACTCATTGTGATATTACAATTACTTTCTTACTTACTTACGCCTGTTACTCATAATGGAGCATAGGCCACCGATCAGCATTCTCCAACCCACTCTGTCCAGGGCCTTCTTTTCTAGTTCCATCCAATTCTTGTTCATTCTTCTCATGTCTGTCTCCATTTCCCGGCGAATTGTGTTATTTGGTCTTCCTCTTCTCCTTTAGCTTTGAGGGTTCCAGGTGAGGGCTTGTCTTGTGACGCAGTTGGGTGCTTTCCTCAATGTGTGTCCTATCCACTTCCAGCTATTCTTCTTAATTTCTTCCTCCGTTGGGATCTGGTTTGTTCTCTCCCACAGTAGGTTGTTGCTAATAGTGTCCGGCCAACGGATCCGAAGTTTTTTGCATAAACCAGGTTTCCGCCTCATACAGTAGAACTGTCTTGACATTTGTATTGAAAATCCTGACCTTGGTGTTGGTTGAGAGTCGATATTACAATTATATTATTTTATTTATAGCAATCTACCCAGTGCTCAATTTATCATAAATTATCAAGACATGCCTTGAACGTAGTTATGTTTTATGTGTCACTTTTGAAATTAAGGGTAAGAACGTTATGAAATGTTCTTTATAGTGTCAAATTGTAGACCTCAATAGTCGACAAACTCTGTTCTGGCTATCTGACCCATTTAGCTATTTCAAACAATCACATAGTTTGTGCTAATAAATAAGTTCTTTATAATCGATAATTACGTTTGATCAACAATGAGGAATCACGAAGACATCTTATATATCCTTTAGTAATCAAATTTGGCTTCAATCCGTCATAATAAATCCTCAATAAGTTTCATTTACATGGTTAAAATTCATACTTTGGTTACTTTTGTATTTTGAAGGATTCAATGTCAATGGTGAAAATGAATGTACTTCATTGGCATATTGTGGACGATCAATCTTTTCCCTATGTATCTGAAACGTTTCCGAAACTTTCTTCAAAGGTAAGTTTAAGAGAAAGATTTTCGAATAAGTGTTTATCTGAGTATGGGCAGTTTTTTAAGACGGTGGTTGGAGGTAGTCAACAGGAAACCCTGGACCCGGGTTTCGTGCTACTTGACACTCGTCAGCAAGGTGTACCTGTTCTTGCGGGAACTGATGCTCCCTGGCGGATTTGATCTCGTGTCACCCAGCTTCATAGTCAGAGACGTTACGCTAACCACAGGGAGCATCAGTTCCCTCAAGATAACACTTACACCTTGCTGACAAGTGTCAAATAGCACGAAACACGAGTTCGGGGTTTTCTGCTGACTACCTCCAACCACTAACTTATCTCAACATAGTGTACGAAATGTCAAGTCACCTAAACTAGTGATCACATTGCAATTTGGCCGATAGCATTCGATCTGCACTGAGAAGGACTTGACACACATGACATTGATCACCATCCAGTGATCAAACAATTGTGAGCAATGCTTTTTTATTTAAGGATTTTTAACATTAAACTACAGAGCATTGTTTTTAAAAATACAATTTATTCTTTTTTTTTAACTAATCTTATATATTTGAAATTCTTTCATACGTTTAATTTCAGGGAGCATTTCACCCGTATCTTTTAATCTATACACCGAACGATGTGAAATATTTATTAAATTATGCTCGTTTACGAGGGATAAGAATAATGCCGGAATTTGATACACCAGGTAGGAAAAGTTATTAAATAGTTATGAAGTTTCAATGTTTACCTTCTAGAGTGTTTAGTGTCCGTGTTAAGTTTTATCAATAGTTTATTTGAAATTGTGTTGATCACGATAGTAAGCGGAGTTAAGCAAGTTATGTTTGATATCATGAGTATTGTACTATTTGGAATGAATGTCGCCCCCATTGTTTGAAGGATTAGAAGCCTGATAACCTTTGATAAATATCTCTTTACAATTCAGATGACTAGGACTGATTAATTAATGGTGGTTTTATGGTTCGTTGAAACTAGATGGAATAAGAACAAACTGTCGATATTTCTAAACACATCTTTGCTTAATCAAGCTGTGAAGTGTTCAGAGGAATAAGAAAGCGAATTATTTGAACGAAAAGAAAAAAAACTGTGCTTCAAATAATAGTTTGAAATGATAAATTTAAAAATTGAATTATGTAAATATTTTAATCTCGATTTTGCCATCAAATGAGTATGGCATATCGTCGTTACTTTTGTATTGAATTTCTATGATCCATTCTGTGTGACTTATTTCTCTGGTTCCTTGGCATTTACTCTATGACTTCAGAAGTTAAATAATAATAATCATCGAGTATTGATTTTAGTTAGCTTACTGAATTTAGCCAACTGAAATCTTTGCTTTACTTAAAATTCATAATTCTTGGCATTCATAAAAGTAAAAACGTTTTATGCTTATAGAAAAGACTGTTAATATTTTTGAAAAACAAGTACGGATTTTCCATTGAACTACTATGGAACACTATTTCAAGTATGTGATTAGATCAGCGGAAAAGTATTCAAGCTTATGAGTGCCAACAAGCATTTCATTTAGTCTGAATTTACGAGTGTACTATGGTAAATGACTTGAAGTTTCGTATTTCCGAATAGTCGATACTCTTCAGAAGCCTCATTTAGATTGTTTATTTCAGAATAATTCCTTTAGATTGGCAACAAGGCATTCATTTCTTTATTTTAATAATACAATAATGACAGTAATCAATTATGCTGATTTAATATAGTCACTAATTAATAAACACTAATGACTCCTTTATAAGAACAGACTCTAAGATTGGGTTGAAGCCTGTGCAGTTGAGCCATTATCATGAGAGCAGTTGTACTCTTTCATTCGACTACTGATAAGTTCACCTAAATTGCCTGTAGAACAGATGATCTATTTTATTAAATACAGTAATCAATGCGCATTCACCAAAACCTTCGTGATCATCCTAACAAAATGTCCAATTAGGAGACGGTGATATAAAGACGATTATTTCATTGCTGTACTTGTTTATTTTATTTGAACATATAATGTGGTGTTAGTCATTAGCTTTAGCCCAGAATATATCTTATTCCAGTTTTCGGACATTTCATTCTATTCATTCTACTTGAGTCATACGTTGACCTTGTCAATCATTCGCTTGTCAGTCTTGATTGTTTTTATATGATCGTATATGTGTGTGCCCTTCTTATTCCATTAATCACATGTCTGTAGCTTATTTTTTTCTGATTATAAATATTGAGTAACGCTTGACTAAAATAGAGTTGGCTTCCCAGCCATCTTCCTTGAGTGTCATTTTGCTCTGCTCTGTTTCATTCGATTCATATACAAAATATATGAATTCTCAAGTCAATTCTCGTTATTCGACTTATTTAATTTCGTTATTGATTAACGCGATTTAAGTCGACGATTATATACGAGAATAAGCTATCTTGGAGTCAGATCAAAGGGCCACTAAACTGGTGAGCCCTTCAACGAACATCGTCCGGTCAAAATGAGGACAAAATTAAATGACGGGCCACCAAAATAAACATTGATACAGTGGGACACCAAATACATATGCGCTAGACCATTATGTTGTGAAGAGATAGTGAATGAAGGGTATGATGAAAAGAGGAGCAGCAATGAATAGAAACTAGTCTATGAGAGTTTGATAATAATAATAATAATAATAATAATAGTGGGAGAGGCAGTTTGGTTACGAGCAGAAAGAATTTTTCCAATTAAAGAAGTTATTCTAACTTTTACGAAGAAAGTTACAGTTACGTCTGAAGCTACCGTGTCGCACTATCGCAAGGACCTTAAAGAGGGAGTCGTGAAGGTCCAACAGAAGCGAGTCCTGTACAGCTTATTTTCATACCACGACACTATGTCATACAGTGACCACCTCTCCACTTTTTTCAACCGGTCCCAGAGTTGACAAATAATGCGCGATATAGAATTCACCAGGACGACAGTCATTGGACATATTTTAACCACCGATGTTGGGGTTTCAAGATGGTGACTGTTACGTCCTTGATCTGTCTACCTGTTATGACTGCGTCACCAATTGTTATATCTGTTCGTTGTTTATCACGTATAATTATAAAGCGAGGAACCTCTGGAATTTTCACGACGCGAAAGTAAGAACACAAAGGCTGATAAAAGTGAAGATTTATTAACCCCAAAACACGACCACGACGACGACCCTACTAAAACACGCACATTTATGTATTGATTGCAAACCCATTTCGAATAATAATTTGGATGACATTACATATATGAAACGTACTTAGAGTTATGGCAAATCACATGCTACATGTCATGCTGTGCATATTTCAGGTCAATTTTTATCACAAGAATATCGTATATTGTACAAAATAAAATGTCATACGAGAAAACAGAAACAAATACTACATTGAGTAACCAAAACATTGAATTAAAACAGAATTAATGTTGAATAAAAATCATAATGATTAAATCAATCTAATTTTGACTTTCATCCCGTCATATCACTACCCTCTTATATACATGAGAAAACATGTCGCGATCTAGCTTCAAACCTTCATATGATAGGCCAACTAGTTTAACTTTGAGGCTAGAAATGCGTGAATCGAATCGAGATTAACAGCCTTAGAAAAAGAAATGGAAACTATTTTATCACCTGATTGTTAGACAAGAAAGAAAAAAGACAAGTCAACAAGAACACTACTCGATTTGTTCCCGATCCCCGATTCAGATTAATGTAAAAATATAGATGATTACATAGACGACTAACACGACCGAAACTCACAAACAATTAGAAAAATACAATTATATCCAAATTGGGCATTTGGGTGGAAAAAGAGAATACAAAATGTTACGTTTAAATTCCATTTGCTTTTGAACAGAAAACAGTATGTCAGTGAATTATACAACAAACGAAGGCCTATAATAAGGACAAAAATGAATGTTAGTGTTTCACAAACTCTGAATTAAAATAAACATCGTCACCGAAAATATCTTCCGTTGCCCAACATGACTTTTTTGTTTCGCTGTTCAAATTACTGACATCAAGTGATTTATCGTCACTCTGCCAGAACACACGATGCCGAACCTCTGCATTACTGACATGGTGTTTCAACTGAATGTGAGCAATTCTCCGGAGGTAAACATTACCAAACACAGAGAGTCATCGAACATCCCCAACTTGGAGAGATCAGGTTTCACTAGCACAAAGCGAAACTGCTCTCATCGGTGAGTTGCGGATCCGACCTTTTACAGACAAACTAACATCATGAAGGCGCCAAAGATGAGCCAGATCTGCATAAGCCGGTCTGTCTTTCATTATACGTGCAACAGTATTATTACTCACGCCACCACCAACATTTATGCAGCTACCCAGATGCAAAAACTTCTCAACTAGTGTCTAGTTCACCATCTAAATCTCAATATTTAGTGCCCACAGTGTCGAATCACGTAGACTGGTAGCCACATTGCAATATGATCGATAGCATTCGATCTGAACTAATAAGAACTAGACACGCATGACATTGATCACCACCCAATGATCAATCAATTATGAAGCAGCTGATTGTTATACAATAAACATAGTGTCCACAATTTCCCGTGAAATAAATGTGAAACTTCAATCAACTATAAATACTCTTCGATCTAGAGATATTATGGCAATAGTTTTGAAACTTTCATCACTAAGAATCATCATCATCATCATTTTAATTGATTATAATTTATATTAATACCGATAATAAATCGATTTTATTATCGTATATAATTGTTCTTCATTTCAACCGATTTTAACCTGTAAACAATAAACTAAATTTTATTCACAGTTCATAGATTTTAATAAAATAAATTTCAAAAATGTTACGTTACTATGTAATCACATTGATTGATTGTTTTGATTTGATTGTTTCCAAGTTGGTTTAGTTATGGATGTAAATAAATAAATTGCAACTCAATAGATTACTATAACATACTTGTATTGAATGTATGGTGAGGATTGACCTCATCACCACTTATTTATATTTTGACAAACCAAACAATCATTATGTGCTGTATTTACAAGGGATTCATTTTCATTCCAACTATAAACAAAGATGAATAGTTAAGCTTTGTGATTGTATGCACTTTACAGTAACGTATATAGGTAACCTATGTATACAACCAAACTAGGGAAACGGTAATACATATTTCTATCTTACTATATGTGCTAAAAGTGTTATTACTTAAATGTAACATAAGTTTGAATTTCGTGTGGAACGATGGATGCTGTAACAACGGGTGTGTCACTGGGTCTAAAACAAAACATCAAGATTATTAACTAGGGCAGTTCTGATTTTACTGTTAGCATGTAATTGATTCACTTTTCCAAAATAAATAAAAAAAACAGTGGTCAGTAAGAGTCTCCAGACGTTTGATAAATTTTAGCCGGTTATTAAGTACATATATGAGAAAGGTATTTAAGCCAAAATATCCTTTCTAGAAGCTCTACTTATGAAGCGAGTATATGGATCACTAAAATGGAACCCGAATAGGAAAGTTGCTTGGAAGATACAGTACATAAACCCTTTTAGTTTGAAATAAAAAAGAACGATAACTACAACAGAATAACATGGGTTCAATAATTTGTTGGATTCTCTTCAGTTTCTTTACAGCATAGAAGTATTAGTAATAATCTTTTAAAACCAGTGCACATGCCTTACAATACAATAACGGGGATTGGTAAAAAGGCAGTCAATGTATTTGATGGAGTTTTGTTCTCTGAGCTGGATGGTTTGTTAATGGAGATTTCATCATTCTTCTGAACGACATTATCAGCACAAACTTCAGATAGAAGTGAAGTGTTCGAATTTCTCCATATGCATTTCACAGCTTGTTCTGTACACCTCGATGTTGATAGGTTCTTGTCGACCTTAAATTTATCAATGTTTACTTCTTTGTTTTGGCATTGTCTCCCGTTGGTTTGATTCTTGTTCCTATATTTGTGCATAATTTTCCTGATTGGTTGATAAATTGGATCGATTTCAATGTGCTTGTTGATTGCTGATCGACCTGAGTGCCAGGCTTTTAAAAATTATCTGGTGCTTTTGGAATTTCCTCTGTCTAAGATTTCCACATTTTACCAATCGAATGAGTGTCCGCAGTTGTCCACGTGTATTGATATAACTGAGGAGATATCATGGCATTTGACTGCTAACTGACGCAGTAAATATTGAAGAATTATAAAATGTCCAAATAGTTGTATATTTATGCATTAACCAAAGTGAAAGTTCCTGAAAAAAGAATTTTTAAATACATAGATAGATATTTCTGGGAAATGAGAAATAAAGCTAGGCGTTACGTAATAACAACTTCGGAAATGGATAGAGAGATTAAATTGAGTTTACTTGCCATTCAATCTGCATATAATAATTTCCGTAACCAACTAATAGTATTCTAGTCAAAGCTCTTTTATGGTTTACTGTACACAAGTTGCTGAAATTCAAATAAATGAATTAAAACTACTGCTCTTTACGTGTCCGATAGTGAAACCAAGATTGAAAGATGATAAACTAATACAACTTACTTATTCTTATGTCCATCCAAACCCCTGAACTTTGCGTATAAAAGAAAAATACTCAGACTCTTTTCTTACTGTAGCCAACTTCAGGCATTAGAAGTCAATACTCATCCTCAGTATAAAACAACCTTATTTGTTTAATTTGGTTGACGTGTTTTTTAGTCAGATTTTTTCTACGGGTTTAAGTTGCCAACCTTATACCCAACCCTCTTCCTTTACCCTAACTTGGGACCGGCAGTAACTCCAGAAGAGCTAAAGGCGGAGTTGTAAAATAACTTAATTTGACAAATGTACATTTAACCTCTCTCTCTGTAATTTAGATTTATCTTAATTCGTTTCTACAACTTTTGAAACTTTCTGCCAGTAATATTAATGACTGCAATCGATCAGTCTCTTTCAGAACACATGCATCCTTAACAGATTATCTTGAAATTACCACCAAGTCACAAGTATTCATAAGGAAGATCCTGTGTTCGATTCATGATGGGTCTATGAATGATGATTATCCAATTATGCTTAGTTTGTGATGAAACTTATTCAGTTTAGCAATTTCATTTTGCTAACAATCCTTAGTTCATATACCATAGTTTCAAAGGATAATTATGCTTTAAAATTAGGTTAAGATCACTCATTTGAATTTGTAATTCCCAAACTCAATATGAAGGAATTTCTTTCTTTACTTATCGTTTGTTTTAACATTATGAGAATTTTTAGACAATTAATTTTTATGCTTTAATTATCCCCGAATTATAAAACTTTTGGTGATTAAACTTTAAGATTAAGATTACTGATAATATTCTTTAAACATTTTACTAACCATAGGTCATGCAAATTCTTGGGGGAAAGGGTATCCAGAGATTTTAACTAAATGTTACATTAAGGGTGAACCGGATGGTACTCTGGGCCCAATCAATCCAATCAATAATATCTCTTATAACTTTGTGTCACAATTATACAAAGAATTATTTAGTGTATTTCCTGATAACTGGTTTCATTTAGGTGGGGATGAAGTTGAATATAATTGCTGGTAAGCCTTAAAATATAAATTCGTGATAATTATAATGAACGCATTCATAATTAGAATACGTATTATACTTGCTTCTCAATGTTACATGTTGAAACAACCATCGTTGAATGTGACAAAGTATCGCATAACGGTAGTTCAATTAGATATTCCCTGATAAATTTACAGCGGATGTGGTTTTTTAAGTTTACTGAACAAGTGTGTTGATAAGCGTATAGAATTTAAATATACGAACACTCTGTTCTATGTTAGTCGATATATTTTTTAATGTAATAAAATATTTGTAAATTAGATTTAATTGTTATACTACTAAATTACTATGTGAAAATGAAGAGACCACTTTTAAAGTTATCAATAATGTCAACTTTACACCTGATGTTATCTAAACCGAGCTGAATAATCTAATGGCTCTTATCTCCAATTTCAGTCTATCAGCTATGTATATTGTGACCATCAATCAATGTCATTGGCTATGTATATTTCAGTAATAAAAGACTTAAATCCACCGGCTTCTTACAAAGACTGTGAAAAGTCTTAATGAATCTAGTCTCTCATATACATATGCTTACTACCATTAAGATAGATTTGTGGAAATTATTTAAACTACTATTCTAATGATAACCATGTCACTATCGTAGAACAGAATTCTGAAAATTCTAGAGAGAGGATTATCGTGTATAAATATTTAATCAAGAAATCATCATGTTGTATCTCGATTGAAATAATGATTGGTAATTTTCGGGATCCATTTATGGACTAATACTATGCGTACATTTTTTATCGTATAATTGTTATGGAACTAAACTGTTCATATTCATGTCAATCTTATTATAAGCTTTGATTTGACCTATGAACTATTACTACACGGTTTACCATTCATGAACTATTCCCTGTCTGTTAATCGCTACCTCCCTCATTCACAGACACATCTGGCTAATTCTTGTACAAATGTTGTTCATATTTTATTGGTACGTTGTGGTCTGTTTGTTTGATATATAAACTCAGTATGCTTGAAATACAGTGATTCATATCTCAGAGGCTGAGACTTGCGTTCTGGACTTAACTGACTGGGCTAGACAGGAACCATGGCGAATCAGAACTCTAGACTGCTCATACGGTTTTACATGTCATTGATCTGATCAATAAGTCACTGCTCTCTAATCAGCGGTCACAGTTATAACACATCACTCATGACCAGATGAAAAACGTTTGCTTCAACTTTTTAAACTCCAATCAATTTACAAATTTAGCTTATGCCTAAACATACCTTTAAATATAAAATAACACATACTTTTATCTGAATCGCTGTGTCCATACAAACTTTAGATTCAATCATTTCATCAAATTGATTGAACATGCCATGCATATTTCGAAGAATTGTTAATAAGTAAACTAAAACTCTGTCATAATTCTGACCGAAACATCGATGTTTCTTCTAATAATCGTTTTCAGATATCAGCGAACAACTAATACTAGTATGTTCAGAACCAACTGACATAACTCTTTTTTCATGATATCTCTTTTTAAAGTAATATTAACTTATGACTTGGAATATTTCTCTATTCTAGATGTGATATGGGAATATTCCCTACCTCAGTTGAGTGAAACTCGTCAATATACATCAACTTCATTGATTATGAAAAGGCGTTTGACAGTGTACATAGAAAAACATCATGAAAACTTTTTCGGCATTATGGAGTTTTTGAGAAAATTAATAACATTATCCAGAACTCATACGATGAAGTACAGTACAATGTCGTGCATGGAAGACAACTAACAGATGCATTCCAAGTAAGGACCAGAGTCAGACAAGATTATCTACTTTCCCCCTACCCCTATTAACGGGCGGGTGACTGGATTATGGAGACCTCGACATCTGAGGGAAAATACGGCATACAACGGACAGCTCAGAGTCAATTAGACGATTTAAACTTCACAGATGACCTAGCACCTCTATCCCATACACACCAACAAATGCAGATTAGGAAAACTAGTGTAACTAAAGCCTCTCCAACAGTAGGCTTCAACATACATAAGAGGAAAGTGCCAATCTTAACTACCACACAGAGAATACCAACCCAACCACACTTGATGAACAAGCTCTGAAAGATTTGAATTCTTTCCCGTATATGAAAAAGGAGAATCCGATGCACATCGAAAGGTGAAGATTGGGAAAGTAAGAACAGCGGTTCAACCAAAGTTGTTGAAGGTGTTACTAAAATACTTCTACTTATTCACTGATCTTTTGGTTAATGCAAAGCTTTTGCTATAGACAATAAATGTAGTTTTAAGTTGAAAGGGATGTTTATCGATCAGAGAAAATGTAGGTCTTAATTTCCAACACTTCGATAAGTTTTCGTCAGATTTAAATGTGATTTGACATAGTTTTGAGAATTATATGTGCATTTGTATACGTCAGTCAACCCATTCATTTTTTTTCTTTTATTGATTTTAGGGCGATAAATCAGTAGTAATTAATGTGTGGAAAGACTTATATTGGGAATCTGTGGTGAAAATTGTTACTATAGAGTACTATTCTCAGCTGCTTGGTACCTGAATTACATTTCTTATGGTGATGACTGGAGGTACCACTATCGTGTTGATCCGAGAGATTTCGGAGCTATTTTCAAAATATTGTCATCTACACACTTTGTTCATTTCTCATGTTTGTTGCACATTGGTGGCTTTTTCTTAGTGATCGAAGTTTTTCTAATGAATGAAAAGATTTACAAGAATTTTCATAGGGAACTGATTTAACTTTTCCACCTCAATCGATTAATAAAATGCTAGAATTATTGATTTAGGTAAGATCCTGGAATCCTCTGGATCGTAATGAAATAGACTTTGAAAGATCGGGCATTTAAGCGAGCAGGTAATCTTAATATTTGATATCATGAGTTCTCGTTTTATTGGTTGGTATAACTGTCATATTGATTTGGGCTGTTTCTTCCTTTTGTTATTTGCGCCTAACGTTGATTGTTCATTGTTGCTTTAACCATAGCAATTGAAACGTTTTCAGATTGTCTACAATGATCATGCAATAGATTTTTCATTCAACGTAATGCTGCGGTTGATGGTGAAACTGTGAGAGATGTGGAATCCCTCATATACCTGGGAAGCATCATCGATGAACAAAGAGGATTCTATGTAGACGTAAACATTTATTCTATCGTCATATCTTACTACACGTATCTTACTACACGCCTATTACACTGTTTGCGTATTTCACGTCTCCTTTATTTCTATTCTCTTATTTTCTCCATTTCCTTCTTTAAACTCAATTCAATATTCTTCTCAATTACACAGATCCGATTTATTATTATTAATATTCTACTATTATTATTCTAAATTTTTTTTCTTAAATATGCCAAGTATAACGCTGACATTATTGAAAATTGTGTATTATTGCATCATCTGAAGAAACCCGAAATGGTTTCTTCACAACACTTATGTACTCATAAGATGTTTGTGAATAATAATAATAATACAAAAGTCACAATCTTCAATACGAACGTCAACACAGTTCTACCATACGGAGCTCAAACTTCGAGAACTACTACAACCATCAACAAAAACATACAAGTATTTCTAAATAGTTGTCTATGCAAGATTCTCAACATCCATTGACCGGATGCCATCAGCAACAGTCTATTGTGTGAGAGAACAAACCAGATTGCAGATGAAGAAGAAATTATGGAAATACATTGGATGTGGATAGGACATACATTGAGGAAGTCACCAAACTGCATCACGAGGCAAGCGCTAACTTGGAACACATTATCTCGGGAAATAGAAGCAGATAAAAAAAAATTGAGTGAAAGGATAGAATGTTACTGATTTGCCTGCTTTTATGTTTATAGAATGTTTCTACTTTCTTATTCGTTTATTAGAATGACATTAAATTCATTAATATGGATAATAAAATATTAGAAGTTAAAGCTTTAAAAAGAGCTTGGGAAGAAATGGAACCCGATAGAGCGATGAGAGCTGAAATATCAAGAGCTCGTTATCTTGAAGAATAAGGTCTAATGAATAAATTGGATAACAAGACTAATGTAGATGATTCAGGATCAATGATTACCATTACATCTGATGGTTAGTTGTGTGAATAAATCAACTTTTTTTTTAATTGTTAGTTGCATGTATTGTCACCAAGAAACCTTGTTTAACCTAAGTTTCAACTCAACCATTACTTATAAACTAAGTAGATTTCAAACTGTACATAATTCGAACATACTTACTTACTTACTTACTTACTGTTACTCCTCGTCAAGGAGAAAAAGCCGCTCACCAGTATTCTCCATCCAACCCTGTCCTGGACAATCCTTTTCAGCTTCTCCCAGTTGTTATTCATCTTTTTCATATTTGCTTCTATTTCCCAACGTAATTTGTTTTTTGGCCTTTCTCTTTTCCGCTTCCATTCAGGATTCCAAGTTAGAGCTTGCCTCGTGATGTAGTTTGAAATCATAAACTTTATAAATGTAAGTATTAAAGAGTTCTGACTGGTAACTGTCAATATTGTCGAATCTAAATTCCTAGAACATTCAGTTAGCTGTTATCGACAGCTTAAACACGAATAGGGTCATCTATAAATTATAATTTCATCAGTTTTTGTTTTATTAAATATTCTAGATGAACTTTTCTTCAGTAAACTAAATCATTTGGTTATGAAGATTTCGTCGCCTCTCTGACCGTTATCATCAGTTATGAAATGTTTACATTTCTCCACATATAACTCATAGCTTAGATCTTGATGTTTATTAGTTTCTAATTGATTATATCTCTCATTGACGAGACTCTATGGACGACCTTTTTAACGAATCTTTAATGTTCTTCACTAATGTATATATTACAAAAAACCAGAAAATTAAAGTGGTTCGAAGACTAATCACGGTTTGAAAAAGATTCAGAGGTACTGAAATAATAGTACATACGAAAGAGGGACTCATCCATTATTGCTTCATAATAGTCGACCTCTCGAGCCATGATAGGGTCGTCAGAACCTTTTAGGCTTCGACCACATAACTTCAGTATTGTCAGTGTGTACTCCAGTTGTAGGGTCCACAAAATAACGCTTACAAATAACGACATTATGCACATATCCAAGTTTTTGAAGGTAACCGTATTCATCAGGTACTGAGGATAGCGTCATCACCATGAAATCTTTCAAACGCTTCTGATTGACACGTCCATAAATTAGAGTCTCATTCTGTCATTTAGTTTGGATATTTATTGTTCAATAATATGTACTTAAGATTGTGTTATTTTCATTCTTTTCTCCTCTTTTTTTCTTTTCTTTTTTTTCAATCAATAGTTCGCAACTGACGAAGTACACTATAAATATTACGAAATGTGTATGAATGATAGAAATAATATAATAAAACAATATAAAAATAATAAAGAAACATCATGTAATCAAACAATGATTGAACATAGTGATAATACAGAACCACATCGAAATAGAAATGAAAATGTAAAAAAAATAGCAAAAGAATTAAAACATCAAGAAGTTCCAAGAGTCGATCGAATTCAAATCAACGAAAAAATTGAAAGAAAAAATAAATTAACTGTTTGTTTTACTCTCTTGTTTTTCTACTCCCCCTCCTCTCGTCGTCGTCGTCGTCATTTCATTGTTATATCAATGATTGAAATCATGCTTCAATGGAAACTGGAATACCATGCACTCACTGGACGGTCGTTTTGCCCCAGTAAGGGACAACTCAGTTCCAGTGCGCATGCACAATCCCTCACCCTGCGAGGTTCGAACCCGTGACCTATCAGTTATATGCAAGGAGCTTAACAAACTAGAGACCATGATGGTCTGACTTCAATTGTTTCATGGTTTCAATCAGTGAAATGTCTAAAGGTCTCCTCAAAAACTATTTTCATATATTGTTATATGTCTTTTGGTATGCTATTTGGAAAGTCTCCACGAGGACGGTTTTGTGCTTTATATATATACGTTTTGATTTATGATTATTGTTGTCGCTGGTTTCTACCTGTTTGCAAAATGTACTTCCCCATTACAAGCTTCGTTGCTCACCAAGCCCATCCACTTGAGTTCAACAACAGCATCCATTATGCGAATCATGTATTTCAGACATACTGGTATTATATACCAGCCAAACAGACTGCAACGCAGCATAAAATAGAAAATAACACTCATACCCTGACTAGTGGTGTGGCCACCTAAGAAAACCACCTGCTACGGTTTTTGGGTACCCAATTAGTATCACAGCCCTCGCACAAATCGAATGATGAAGTATGAAGCATATCTATTCGATGCTTCATTGTATCAATGTGTTAAAATAATAATATAGGAATAACAAGTTAGAAGAGATGTTCTGTTCGGTCTATATTCTATACATGGAAATTGTTTTATCCTAGTGAAGATTGAATTACGAGTAGCGTCTGAAACCTAATAATCTATATATTCTTATGGTATACATATTCTATATTGTTCTCCATATTCAATACCAAGTCTTGATGAAAATGAAATAGATGAAGTTCGAAAGAATTTAGATCATCTTAAATCATTATTGATACAAGTTAAAAATCAACTCAATTCTTCACCCAATAATGAAGATGATGATGATAATATGATTGATGAAAGATTCTTTCCAAATACTTCTACTGAATTGAGTCTTTTACAGACTACTAAGAAGAATACTGTAGAATATGCTGAAAAGATTGAAGATTCATGTCGAAATTTTCGTCATTATACTACATTTTCTGTGAAAAAATCACACGAATATGCCGTGAGAAATTGGTTACTAACATATTTTAATCATATTTAACTACTTATATCGATGAAAGTAGTTAGAAACAATTGTGTTAATTAATTTCTATGACATAAAGATCAAGTTTGTTTTTTTCTTTTTAAGTAAGTGGTTTCTTAAAATATCATTCATCTCATTATAATTAGCATTGGTATGTATGATATTCTTAGTATCAGTTCATCTTAACTTTTCTCTTTAGTTGTAAACAATGATGGATGGTGGCTAGCAGTGGCTTCCAGTTTGACGCGCGTTTCGTCCTATTTGGGACTCGTCAGCTGCATGTACCTGCATTTCAGAGATTTGATGTTCACTCTGGCATTCGAACCCAGTAACATTCGCTTCGCACGCCATCGCGGTCGGTGTTTGCGTATACGTAACACGTCTCCCAGTGATCTCAACCAATGAAGTTTCACTAATCCATCAAATGATTTGTCATCCTTATCTAGTACTCATTTATTAATAACTTACTTGGTGGTCCCAGGATATACGATCAATGCTTCAAAGACACTTATGATCGAATATCAGTAACATTATTATCTGAATATTACTGGAGATTAGTTTCAATCTTAGTAGCTCAATATCAGCTTCTTTGACAGATATTCGGTAATATGAATTCCATTTACTGAGAGAACGTCAATCCCCTCAAGATTACAGATATGTCATACTGTCAAGTTCTACATATTATAAGAAGTTGGATTATGACGGCTCCTAACTGATTGTCT